CGGCTGTTGGCGGTGGGGGGCAAGCAAAGAGTGGTCGCGAGAGGCGGCCGCAAGCTAGGCGAATGTCTGTTTTGGTATTTTAAAAATAAATAAATATTATTTTCTGTTTTAATATTTAAAAAAACATAAGTGTTCTTAAAAAAAATCGATAAGCAAACACAACTTTTATGTTCGTTTCCTATTTTTTATTTTAAAAAATAAAAAAAATTAATCCCAAACAACCCCTTAAAATTACTTTAAGAGATTCTTTAAGAGATTTTTCGACCATTTTAATAATTTAACATACACATATGAAAGTAAACTCAAAGTAACTAGACATTTCAGAGCATTACACTTTTTTTTTTTTCAATAGAGCTATGCCTATGAGAAAAATATTGCGTGCTGATGAAATAGGTGCGAATTAGGTGCGTGAATCAGTGATATTGGAGTGATATTGGGGTGATATTGGGGTAATATTGAGATATACTACTACCTCAATACCACTCGAATACCATAGTCCTCATGTATGCCTGATGTACACAATATTTTCTTATGCCTGTGAGTACTACAACATTCACATGAATAACTTATGTTCAAACTTATACTTTTATTTTATAATATTTAGGATAAGTTCTTAAAAAATATTTAACATAGACCTTCTATCTTTCTTTTGAAGTTGTCCCTTCCTTGTTCATAAGTTATTCATGTGAATAAAAATTATATGTATATATATATATATATATATATTATACTCCTACTATATGTATAGGAAAAATTATTATACTCCTACTATTCCACTGTATAGTTACAGTGCGCATAAATTAAATGCATGAATAATGTTGGTGCATGATGAAAGATTCATGAATAAAGTTAATGGATGCAAATTAAAATGTAATAAAATTTATAAATCATAAAATTTCATTTCATCTAATGAAAATGGAGCACTATGTCACGAACCAAAAGTCCCACATCGGCTAAGTGTGTTTATAATTTATAATAAGCACCACAATACCTTGTTCACATAAAGGCTCTTTCAAAGCCTACACATCCATCCACCACAAGTATATGAAAGCTCTAGTCTATTGCTCTCAATGAGTGATACTAGCTATTTATAAAAGAATTTTATATTTTCTAATGTAGATAGAAAGATTGTTATCCTCAACACAAAAAATAGAGCATGATATAAGATAAGGAGATAATTATATCATTTCTAAGAATAATAAAATAAAATGAGAGAATAATATTTTTAAGGTATTTGCCGAAATATCCTAATACAAAAAGTTTCCAAACTTCTCCTTTTATTGCAAACAAGCAAGCAACACCTTATATAAATTTAACCAAATATGATATTCTAATGCAATTCACTTTGTTTATTTTTTTTAAATACATATAATTTTATAAGAGAAAAATTAAGTCCAAATTTCTTCATGATGTAATTTACATACTTGATGGCCACTTTCATTGATTAAAGTGATGTTTGATTGCAAATATGTCTCTCTCTCTCTCTCTCTCTCTCTCTTACACACTCACATATATAATAATAATAATAATAATAATAATAAACTTATTATTGGACTCAACTTCTATCATGATAATAGTGATAATACAATAATTTAAAAATAATTTTTTTATATAAATTAATAATAATTATTTTATTTTTAAATATAAATTATTATATTTTTAATATTATAAATTGATGATCAAGTTTTTGTATGCTGATGAATCAACTTATGACATACCTTAATTTTCCTATATTGATAAATTTGATTCCTACGACAAAAAATTCCTTTTGCAATCTTTTTGTTCGACATACTGTACTACTCTTCAAGAAAATCCACCCTCAAAGTTCAAAATGCATGTTGCAAGTTGATTAAGCATCACTTACATTATAAATATACAAATAAAAAAGGAAGAAAGAATACACAACAATTAAGAAAGCAAAAGCAAGAAAGTGACAAGAAGTGGAAGCAAATAAAGATAACTAGGATAATTACTATTCATTTAACAAAACAATATCCAAGCAAATTATAATGATTGCTTGAAACTCACAAGAGAATCAAATCCATCTAGCCAAAAAATCCCAAACTTTCTATTAGATTAAAGCTGAAGAAAAGTAAGAAAAGAATTATGAAAAGCTAATAGTAACTCTAAGCATATAAAAATAAAAAAAATAAAAAAACAATATTTTTCTAAATAAGATCCATAAATAATTTTGATGAATAATTAATTACATTAATAAATGTTTTAGTAAATTGAAGAAATCATCAAAATTTCTTTAGTGTGTTAAAGATGCACAAAAGTTTAGCTTTGATGCCAATATACACATGAAGTTGGAAAATGGGCTACTAACATAGAGATTATAAGGGAAACAATATTGTCATATAAAAAAAGAATGAAAACATAAATGGATGTAAAATTAATATTAAGAAAATTTTCAAAGAACTATAATAAGAAGATGTCACTGAACTTCACATT